AGCCGTCGTTAGCTCAGATCATCCAATGTGATAGAAATCCACTTCCTCGACAGTTGGTTGTTTCATGGAACTTGGTTGGTGGATGTCTGGCTCTCCCAGCTATGTTGATGATTGGTCTTTCCTGAGCGTGTGAAAGTGGTTCTCAGACCACAGACGTCTGGACCTGCGAGCTATGTTGTGATGCGCTAATGATTGATTGGTCAACATGGTGGGGATCACTCTTAGAATCTTATTTCGTAACTCGGACGTTTCTATCACTTGTTTTCTTTTTTGGGTCGGTAGTGATTTGAATTTGGCAGACAAACGGGCACTGTTGAGATGAAACATCCGAGGCGAAACTAATTTCTTTTCATCGAGAAACAGGTATGAAACGACCCTTCGTGTATACTTGGAAGTTCCCCATTTGTGCGTGCGGAATTCTTTTCGCGAAGCCGGTGAACTCTTTCATGTGAGCGGCCTAGTAGGATCAAGTCATCCGCCTGCCATTTTGAGACTACTGCAGTGCAGCGGCGTTGTTTTGCGCCCTCGATCGCCATCCCACCTCACTTGCCATGGAGCAAACTCGAAAGCGCCCTGCGACCTTCAAAAGGCCAGCTGCAGCTGCCAAGCGGCCAGCAGCAGCGACAATGTGCCAGGAGGAGGTTTTCATGGAAAGCGACGAAGAGCCGACGCTGGGTTGTGTTTTAAAGAATGCTTTGTGGAGACCAAGACAAAGGGATGTTCCAAAAGGCTTCGGTGTTTGAAACCGTCAGTTTTGACATTAAAAGTAGAACCCTGGCGAAACCACGCAGAAGGAAAGCAGATGGCGAAGACACAAGTGGTCAAGCCGCAGATACTGCCGCAGACGACATCGAGCTGTTTGAGGAGAGCGACGTGGAGAATGCCGTAACTCAGAGTTCTTCGACGCGGCCTTCCCCGCCACCGATTCCTGCAATGGGGGCCCGGTGTTGCGAAACTTCACAGTTTTTAATATATACTGTAGCATGACGAAACTTCACCGTATTTTTTGAAACGATAAATATGCAACATGATTGAGTTTTGTAAAAACCTGTGCAGCGCAATGGATGGCAGGTAGACAACATGATGTCTGGGTATTTTTGCACCAGCGAAGCTACCCGCCCCATTCTGCAAGAGCTTCCTTTCGCATTGCGCCGGGTGAGCCAGGGATCAGATGAGATCCCTGCAGCTTCGATATGTTCAGGGTGGGGAGTTGCGGAGATGGTAGTGGACTCCTTGAACAATGTCCTGGCGCGCTTCTCAGATGGCCAAACGTTGATTCCGAAGGCCTGGCTTTTCTGAGGGTGGGAGTGCGTTCCATTATATATGTCTTTGCCGGGGCATTCCATTCAATATTTTTGGGACTGTTTGTCAGTTGTTGTGACATCATCACTAAAAGTCGCTTTCCATGGGAAGGTCAATGACCTTAGAGGGGTCCAATGCGCGAAGACGTTTTGGCCCAATACGATGCGATAGACGTTTTTGGTAAATTTGGGTAAAACCATGGCCTCAAGTGCATGGGCAAGAAGGCTTCCATCCAAAAGCTTGGCAGATTGCTTCAAAGCAACTGTCGTTGCCTGAAGCGTTCGCGCTACCAACAATTTTCTGGGCAAGAGGAAGAGGTGATTGCCAAGAGGGAAGAGTTTGCATCCCTTTCGAAAGAGAAAAAGGAATCTTGACTCAGAGAATTTGTAGTTTGTGCAGGCTGCTTTTAACTGTCCTTTGCGCTTTTTGTATGTTCAAAACCATACTTCTGCAAATGACTTTTGGCAATGAAATGTTGCGCTCAGGAGTCTTGGCTGGCCGCACAATTCAATTGCATTTCCAGCCAGACTTTTGATGTTTCTTCTGCAAGCAATCCGCCCGCGCTGGGTGATCAAGGTGAGAAACTGTTCCTAGAATCGCCAGCTGACGAAGTTTTCCATAGCAGCGATGAAGAGCTTCAAACGGCAAATGGTGGCGCGCAGCCATCTGATGAATCAGAAGAAATTTTTTGGTCCTCTGATGAAGGGGATTACGTGAGACCACCTCCAGTGAAAAGAGGTCGCTATGCGGCCAGGTCCTCGCAGGGAAGTGAATTCTTGAACAAAAGTGTTTGCAAGGAGGCCTTGGCTCGTTTGGTTGGAGTGGGCAACTCGACGATCAGCAAGATCAGACGTGGAGAGATGGCTTTCACAAATCATTCCAGACCCGAACTACCTAAGCACCCGATGTTCGGGTTCACGATGAGGGGAGAGACCTCTGCACTGTGGGAACACATCATCATGTTCCTATGGTTCGTATACCAAAGCTGTGCGGAATTTATGCCAAATTATTTCCGAATGGCTGGTGAGCAATCTGCAGAGACAGCATTTCCTGAGGACAAAGAGGATGTTGATCATGACTGCATCGCCCGGCTTGTGAATGGATTCAGCCAAACATTGCAGACGGTTTCTACTGACATAGATGTCAACCAGATTGGCCCAGGAACCTTTCGAGGACCAATGAAAGCTCTTCCACATGGGACACGCGCCGAGCTATATTGGGAATACAAAGTTTTCAGCGAATCTAGAGGACTTCCGGTGGCATCCTACTCGACCTTCATGAGGGTGGCCAACCCCATATTGAAACCAGACACCCGAAATACTGGACATCTACGGTTTAGGAAAACGGGCGAACACGCCCAGTGCGATCAATGCTTTTCTCTGCGAAAGGCCATTGCTAAAGCCAAGAACCCTGCTGAGAAGCTTTCGCTTCAAAAGGATCACCATCGGCATGTGTTGAGTTCTTGGCTATGCCGCCATGTCTACTGGTCCATGAGAGCTTTGTCTCAGGCCACGTTTGCTGCGGTGATTCAAGACAATGCAAGGCATGCTTGGGATGCCCTGGCTGTTTCCAGCTGTGTAGTGTGCGCCATGGTCGACGGTATGGACCAGGCAAAATTCAAGGTGCCGAGGACAAAGGCTCGCCATTCAAAACTCTATAGTCGCCTATGGCGACCACAGCTTCACATGGCAGCTGTATGGATGCATGGAGCTATGCTGAACTTTTTCGTGAGCAACGAGGATTGCAAAAAAAACAGCTCTACTCAATGTGAAATGCTGATGCGATCGTTGGACATGATCTTGGACCGCTTTGAAGCTTTGCCTGCTGGATTAGCAATCCAAATGGATAACACTCCAAGGGAAGGAAAAAATCAGTTTTTTACTGGGTGGATTGCTTTGCTGGTGGCCCTTGGGAGCTTCAGGTGGGCTACTGCCTCGTTTTTATTGGTTGGTCACAGTGATTTGGTCTTGAGAATAATTTTTGCAGGTCCAGGAATTTGATTGTGATTTCCCATAAAGCTTCAACCACATGGATGAGATGGGCCGCAGTCATGTCTCTGCCCAGGTCACGAGGACTTGGACCAAGCGTTCTCTCAGCAAGCAGCTCTTCTAAGCAGGCATGAGTTTAGCACGCCCGAGGACGTCATGGCTTTGCTGGACATGAGCCATCGACCAGAGAATCAGGCTGAGCTGCTCAGAAAGACTGCGAAGAAGTTTACTGTTGAGACCAATTCGCTGAAGCTAGACCAAGTTGCTGACTGGAAGGCTTGGGTGCAGGCTTTGGGTGTCCGCTTGCTTGGGCTTAGACTCTTTGCCATAAGTTTCAATAACATGTAACAAGTGTGGTTGTTGACTGAACGCTTGGATCTCACTAAAGCACTTAGAATACTTTGTGTCCAAGCTTCTTGGTGAAAAAAACACCTATGCAAGAAGCATCACATCCGAGGACGCGCTGGCCAGCTTCGGTTTTGCTTGCGGCAGGACATTGATCCAGCATCATATGGTGCTTGCCAGCCTGAAGAGATTCCAGGCTATCAACCTCATGGAGCTGACGTAATGCTGCTGGTGAAGCGCTTGATGGCAGACACAAGCCCAGTCCGGGTCATTTGCGTGACTCCAGCATCTGTGTGCAAGCAATTACGTATTGCTTTTCAACAGCCCTCTGGCAATGATGCCAAGCGACCGATTTCTGAGCAGTGTCGGAGGAATATCCGTTCAATGGCACCGTTGTGCCAAAATCAAGGCATCATCTCAGCTGATGGCCGAGCATATTTGACAAATTGGGTTGATGGAACTCTTCCGCAACAGCCTAGACCCACTGCCTACAAGTGCTTGACTTTCAGAAGGCATCGTGTGCCAGCAGGTGTTCCAGATGCTCGGCCAATTGTGTGGGACACCCCTCGGCGCCCTAGAATCATCACAGTGTTGCCATCTGACCACGTAGTGGCAGAGTCGGATGAGGATGAAGGCCCAGTCGGGATGGATGTTTTGGAGGATTGATCTCCTACGGTCCTACAGCTTGGAAAAAGAACCTTCGGGCAGCGGGCTTGACAGGGGAACATATGACATAGAGCTTTGACATTTTCTAGGCAGGACACCAAAGTATTCTGTTGGGTGAACTGCGCCCGGTGTAGTATGAACTTTGGATGATCACTCTATTTGTTTGGGGGGAAGTAGTTCTATCTCAGGAGTTTTGTTTCCGACCTATTTTCTTGACAGAAAGGCCCTTCACCATGGAGCGGTGTGTCATATTCCCAATCCCTCATTCCTTTCCAAAGCTCCGCCAGATCCAAATGAAGTTCATGTGCGAGAACACTCGCTACAAGCAGAAGTTCCTTTCTGGGGCATGGCCAGACTGCCCCGTCTTCACGGACATGTGCGATTTGAGCTGCGGTCGAGCCCATGAGTTCCGATCTGGCGAAATCCGAGATGTCCCACAGGCGAGGAAGCATTCTGTTCATTGGCAAGGTGTAGGCCTTTTGTTCTGAGTAGGAAAAGCCTTTTGTTCTGGTAGGAGCCCAGTAACTGGTTTCTCATGTTCATAATGCAGTTGCAGTTGAATTGAACGTTTTGCAGGTCACATTGGCTTTGGTGGGATATCCTTGCAAATCGATATCGCAGCAGAACTGTTCAGCCAAGTCCTTCAAGGACACTACGAGCACCACTGGCTCAGGATTTGATGCTCTGATTAAGTTTGTGGACCGCTTTCGCCCAGAAATTGTTCTCACTGAGAATGTGCGGTCACTCACACAGACTCGCAAGCAGTTTGACTGCGAAGTGCCCATTCAAATCCAGAATGATGCTTTCAGCCGGAGGGGATACCATTGTTGGCATGAAGTTGTGTCTTCTGTCGATTTCGGTCTCTCGCAGAGCAGAACACGTGCATGGGCTATCTATTTGCTTCACCATGGACATGGGCCACTCTTTTCAATTTCAATTAATGTTTTCCCTTGTGTGACCCAATCTCTCATCCGCATCACACCCAATTGTTTCATGTATTCAAATACTTGTCACTGGTCAAGGCAAGAGCGATATGCTCCCTTGAGCATCGTGTCCAAGTTCAAGTGCTCGCCCTACCCGATTGACTTCTTCTTGTTGCCTGCTGGTCAAGGTGACGCGGCTCGTGGCAAGGCCAAAGTGAGCAAGAAGGGGAGCAGCGCTTTGAAATGGGAGGCAGGCTTTGAGGAGTATTGCCAACAGTTGGGCCACGTATCTTGATACAATCAAGCAAATTTGTTTATCTTGCCCAAATGCACACTGTTGCTGGTTTCGTTTGCGAATGTTCACATGAGAGATGTTTTGTTACTCTTTGCGACATGTTCTCTCAAGGCTGCTGTGGAAGAGAATCGAACATCATTGCGCGCCCGTGGAATGCCGTTGACCGAGAGGGAGCTGGCCATTTTGGCTGTAGCAGTGACCAAGATGCAGTCCATTGGCTTCCGGCCATTCAACGCTGAATACTTTGTGGAGGTTGCTTCTCGGTTTAAACACATATTATATGGGTTGGTCGTCATCGATGGCAAGATGTTTCTAAACATTTCACGGGGCCATGATGTCCTCGGCAGACTTGGACTTAAGACTTGAAAGTAACTACAGGGTATGTGATGGCAATGGGTGATTCGCTCTGGTATTGCAAATTCCCAAGGACCAGAACTTTGGCCGGCAGACCTTCAACCGGCGCTCTCCGAGCCATTGCCCGTGCCTCTTGCCAAACGGCAAGTATATATTGACAAAGCAGTGGCGATTGCTGTCTTCCCAGGACCCAGTCGAAGATGACCTCTCTCCACTTCAAAGTGTTGCGAAGCTTCCTTCCTGCGTGAGTCATATGTAAAGACAAACTCTAGTAGATACATGAAGTTTGAATGACCGTTGAAAGACGCCTATAGGCTTTTGGTTTGGAATTTGATGAGGAGAAAATGCAGTTGCAGGGAGTTGGAATGGAAGAATACAAGAAGTACAAGATGGACACCTTGTCCCCTTCCCAACTGTCCAACATGGCTGGCAATGCGCGCTCTTCTTAGTGTTTGGTCTTTTGAAAAAAGCCAGCCATATTGAACCATGTCATGTGTGCTTCACCGTTTTTGCACTCAGTTTCAGCGCCCCTGTGTGCCTTGCTTTCCTGACGGCAGCCTTGATGAGCTGGAAGAATCTGTCTGAGGCATATTCTAGCTGATGGCTTTTAGCACTGGGTAAACCTTGTGCACATCAAGGTTTTGAAGCGGTAGGTGTGATTTCCAATGATCATTTGCTGCCTAAACCCTGCAACACTGAGTGTCACTTGTTTTGCGAACACACAAGATCATTTAATATGAATGGAAGGGTTCGTTGCGCAGATGGTCTTAAATTTGCTAAATTTGCAGCCCGGGTCTGCTGTGCGCCAGCATACAAGTTGCAAACAAATGTTTCAGTTTTGAGGTCGTGCAAGTCGAGCGAGTGCAAGTCCCATAAGCTTTTTGCAAGGGTTTTCGGCTTAGGCTTTGAGTGCGTACTACATGTGGGAGCCATGCCGCCGCGCAAAAAAGCGAAAAGCCTTGCTGCAGGGGTCAGCACTCCTCAGAACATCACCACGGCAGATGCCATGCCTTCCTTTCAAAAGGATGTGCTGTCGATTTGTGAGTCCATTTTCGAGCTTCGACATGGTCGTGTGTCCGATGTTCACGAAAAGCCAATCGGTCTCCTAGTCCCTGAGCACGGCTTGTTCGCTTGGCCGATTTGTTATGGAGGCACATTTAAGGACATCGCACAGAGGTGTTGGGAAGATGGAGGAGACAAACTCCTCAAGATGTCTGCTGAGCTTTGCAATCGACTTGGACTTGTGGACAGTGCCGATGTGGATGACTTCAAGACCAATTTTTGCAGAATTGACGCTCCCAGGTGTTTGATTGAACCATGTTATTGTTTTTCTTCTATGAGGGCAAACCCTTACTTTTCAGTTTTTGGAAAAGGTTGCAACTGAATCTGAAGGGTTCTTAAGTACTTGTTTCTTGTGCGTCGCGCGTTGCTCCGAGGTTTGGCCACCGCAGCGAGGAGACAACTTTGAGACTTCAATCCTCTCTTGGTCCTTCGAGGACGCCAGCTTTTGGAGAGGAAACTCGATTTCAATGGCCGAGGTCATGACGTTTGTCCGCAGCATTGCCAGTTCAAGATTCCGCGAGGCTGGACCCCCAAGCACTATATTGAAAGCAACATAGAGTTTGGTCGTTTTTGATGTGTTTACGATGAACCATACTATGAAAATCTGTGGAGTAGGCTGTGTTTCTCATTGATGTTTTTTGGGTTGGCCAGGCAGGTTTTGGCGAGGTTTGTATGGTTGGCTTTTTGGCGAGATCTTTTTAGTCCGGGTTTGGCGACCCTAAACCCTAAACGTTATGGTATTTTAGGAGCGGCAGCGTAAGTTGTACCCAAAAAAAATCTATATACTGTGAATGTCTAGCCATTGTCTATGGTTTATGGCGAGCTCCTCAGCGAGGAGCTAGCCATAATATTTAGGATGAGTGGCGGGGGGAGATTTGTCTGCAAAGTCTGAAAGTTTCCTTGGCTCTGGTTTCCGTGGTCTTCAGTTTGTGGCGAGCTCCTCAGCGAGGAGCTAGCCATAAGCCTTGAGACACGTTGGTATGGTTTTTTACGTGCAAGCATGCATATGTTGTTTGCGTATATATGTGAGGCAGTTCCGTGCAGTCATATGGCTAGCTCCTCAGCGAGTAGCTCACCATAAGCAGTGGTAGAATCCTATGCTGATCATGGCTAGCTGGGATGTGTTTGTAGAAACCCTTGAAGGGGGAGACTATCACATTGAGAATGCCATGTGCCCCACTTCAGTCAGGGAATCTTGCCTTGGGTTGCCTTTACTTCTCCGATGGGAGCCAGAAGAGTTTGGCCGGCTTCATCACTTGGGTTTCGATGTGCTTGGCTTCGCAGTTGGAGAAGCACCAGGGCACGCTTGCCGACAATGTCCATTTGCAGACCTCCGCAGCCTCTCTGTTGAGAATTCAAACGACTGTGAAAGGTTCCACGGGATCCTCCGATGAACTGGACAACACCATAGCACGGATAGTGAAACAGAATGTGGATGCAAAGGTGATGCCGGTCAGTTCTCTCACCTGGGTTACCGTATTACGCAGTTTGACGTCTGAGCCAACTGGTTTTGACGCCGCCATGGCCAAGTATAACAGCCACCCAGAGGTGGTCTCGTTTGATTCTGGCTCTTCGGGCGCTATCAGCTTGGACAACAGAAAGAAACAGGCCAAAGGGCGGGGAGAAGTTCCGGGTGCCAAAACATTGGATGGTGTCTTCCACGTTGCATTGGTGCACACACACACATTATGCACACACATTTGTTGGGGAGATTGACCATAATTACTATCTTTGTGGTCAATGTCTTTATCCTGTCCCCCAGACAACTTTCGTTTCTGATTCTGCGCAACTTCACCAAGAAACCCAGGGCGTTCAATTCTTCTTCAAGTTGTTTTAAACCAAACCATTGCCAAGCATAATGGAAAGTTACCCTTTGTGGGTGTCCAGAATCATGCTGTGTTTGATCATGAAAAGTAAGAGTTAGTGCAAACACCTTCCGACAGAGTGATCCAAGCTGCTCAGTGACCGCTTGAAATCCTGAAGATTTGATTTTCCTGAACATGTAGTACTGGACCCCTTCCCAGATACGTTTTCGTGAAGCTGGTGTTCTTTCTCCTTGCCTTGGAAAGATGGTGGCTTGCCGGTTTTGTTTGTTTGCGCAGGCTGTCAAGAACCTGTTGGAGGCCACGGACGCACAGGCCTTCGAAGAACTGGTGCGAAGCGCGCGCGATATTCCATTTCAGTATGGAGCATTCGGAGAGGGCTTTTGTTGCAGTCCTGGCTTGTGGCTGAATTCCTGTGGGCGGCTTGATCCTTGCCCAGAGCAGGACCCAGAGCTTGCAAAGCAGCTTTCTCCTTTGCCGCATGAGCCTTTCGTGACTTTGGATTGGAAATTGCCGTTGGATGCACAGGGCCAGCTCATTCTCTTTCGACGTGTCAAGTTCACTTTTGAACGGGTCACAGGCCTGATTCCTTTGCACCAAAAGCGCAAATACAGAATGAACAGTGAGGAGCTCAACCGCGTGAGGAACATGGTGGCACTCTTCAGCCAAATCCTTCCTCATTTGCGCGCACGTTTGGGAGATGATGATGCCAACAAATGGCAGGTGGATGTAGAGACTGGCATGGGGCGCGATGATGACATTCTCAACTTGATGCAGCTCCGTCCAACAGTGTTCTCACTGTCCATGCTGTTGTCGCATCAACGGCAAGCCAAAGAAGACATGCGCGAGAGCGAGAAGAGAAAAGTCGAGACTGTTGAGACACAAAGAAAGGAAGTCTTGACAGCCCAATGGAACTACTTCCTCGCTGCGTTGGAGAGGGACTATGCTCAAATGGAGCAAGTGCATGCTGCGCCTGCTCAAGTGCGCCAGCGGTTGCATGTCAAGCAGGTCGCGCACCAGGCCAAGATTGTTGCAGCGGCTGAGCAAGCTTGCCGTGGATACCAGGACAGACATGATAGACGCTGTCAATGTTCATGTTCAAGGTTTGAGTGTTTGTCTTCAGTTTTTTGCACCAATAAGGCTCCATGAGTTGTAGTTTCGATATAGGGAGCTCTGCTTGTGGGACGTTTGGCAATCATGTTCTTGTTGTAGTCGTTGACTCGAGCTTTCTATCTAGAGGAGAAATATTTGAGAGTTCTCGCCATTGAGAAAGTTGAGCTGGCAAAAGCAGAGATCAGCAAAATGAAGATGCAAATGGCTGCTTAGCTTACTGCTGATCAGGTCATTTTATCCAGGGTGGTGAAAGGAGAGGTGTAATACAGCAAAAAGGAATAAAAAGAAACACCATAAAAATAAAACCTCTTCATATGCCTTCCGTTTGTTAGTTTTGCGTTTCATTGGTTAGTCTCTTTTGTTCTATTACATCCTCTCTATTCTATGGATATTGTATATTTGTTTCACATGCATTGTGTTCATTTCTTTCCTTGATGTCATTAGTGCTCTTGTTTGCTTGACGTTTTCTTTTGTTCGCTGTGTTCATTTGGATTTCTCAGCCTTTGCTTGCGAAGCAAAGGCTGACCATTGTCAAGTGCCCTTGGATCGCGTGGCCACAGTGGGCTTTGTCGACTACAATGTCCCAGTCGCGAGGCAAAGCAAGGCAGCCCAGACTTTGGTGTCTGCTATGTCGATCGCGAATGACACAGGTGACCCATCCAGGAATTGTTGCTTGATGATCCTTCCGGATCTTCCGAAAGAAAGTTCATTGCGGGGCTTGTTCGACGAAGAGAAGGCGATTCTGGAGGGATGCTTTGGTATGAAGCAGGACGTTGAGACTCGTTGGATTGACCTTTACTGTCGCGACCGGCGAGGGGAAAGCAAGGCCAACAGCCGACGCTTTGGGTCAGGGCGGATAAGAAACAAACATATGGCTGCAAGCTGAGCTCGCCATTTCTGGGCGCCCGGTGGGACAATGTGAGTCTGAACGAGGAGCACCCACGGCTACGCTCCCAAAGTCCAACATGCTTCTGTTGCCGGAGGGCGCGTCGCCAAATTCCGATTTGAAGATTGCAGAGAGGGTTCGCCCATCGCCCGAGCAAAGCAGTGCTCAGAAGGGCTTGCAGCGCTTGGAGATCTTGGTGGACTCGCTTGTCCGCTATGTTCCCCTCAAGGATAGCCCGTTGCTGATCGTGAACTTCACTGGGTACGTGGAGGAGTTGGCGGCAGCGGTTCCTCGTTTATTCAAAAAACATGGATTCAACGAGCAAGTACAAGAAATGCAGTATGATAGGACTTGAGAAATTGGGAAAGGATAGCAACATAATACATAGCAGAAAGGAAAGAAAGAAACAACAGAAAAACCAGGTTGTTTTTGCTTTTCATTGTTTAGTCTCTTTGTGCAGTTATATACATCCTCTCTACTCATGCATCGCGTTCATTCCTTTCCCTCAGGTCATTCAGCTATTTGTTTCTTTGTTATTATGTTTGTCTTAAGCTGCTTGAGTTTTTCTATTCTCTGCTGTGTTCATTTGGATTTATTGTTTCAAGTTTCAAGAATCTAAGGTGCTCAACTTACGCATACGTGGATCTTTGTCAGGGGATGGAGGAGGCTTTGACTATGACCGGAACCTGTACTATTTGTCACTCCACACCTTGGACTCAGATAGTGGCGTAGCCTATGCGCAGGGCAGGGTGTCTCGAGATTTGTTGGACAGCTGGCTTGCGAAACGCATCTCCTTTGACGGACACAAGTATGAAGACAGCGATGTCAATTTGACAGAGCTGGACAGGGGTTAGATGAAGTTGTGTTTACAGTGGATTGACATCCATGTGTTTGTGTTCAATTGTCAATTTTCAATCAATTGAATTTTTGTTCATTGCACAAAACTTATCTGGAAGGAGCTGAAAAACATCCCAGGGGCACAGTTTCTGAAGGCCATCGATAAGATGAATCTTGAAGTCTGCGTGCGGAAAGGAACGCAGATGGTCCTTCATCCAGACCAAGTCAAGCAGTGGAACAACTCTGGGGTTGAGTATGCTGAGCAGTTTGCCGAAGTGCAGAAGAAACATGACTCCAAATACCTGGGCTTGTTGACCTCGATTATCTCTCAGCCTCAGGGAAGTTCATCGCAGCTTGCAGCAGCAGCTCCAGCTGATATGGACGAGGGTGCAACTGCTGGCTCTGGTGCCACCGAAGAGCCAATTCAGGAGTTGAACAAGTTCGAGTCAGTCGAGAAACTTGCAGAGGCTGAGAAGATTGAATACCGGTGCATGTCCGAGGTTGCCGGGATTGAGCTGCTCTTGTGTGAGTCCAAGAAGATCTTCCTTGTTGCAGACAAGGATCGCATTGTGGCAAAGTGGACCATGGTGGGTGGCTTCGGAACAGGGAAGCAGTTTGGCCTGAAATCTAAGTTCTGTCATTGTTTTGTGTTCAAGTCAAAAATGGGAACATTATTGAAAGAAGAGTCGAAAGAAAATAGTCAAGGATGCAATTTTCACACAGGTCCTCCCAAAGAGTGCAGACAATATGGTTGTTTATGGATTTGTTCATTGATGTTCAGTTCACCGCGTCGAGGTATGTTGCCATCAATGAGTCTGCTGGGGCTGGAGTCCCCATTGAATGGCCGCAAGGTGATCGGACACTGGTTCAAATAGATCACAGCAGCATCAGCCCTGAACACTCACATGTCGAGGTGATGAGCCTTTATCGCCTGCTGACTCATTTGGAACGAACCAAGAAAGTCTCAAATCACAAGGTGTCCTACACAGAAGTGAAGCGAGTCGTTGATGGAGGTTCTGCTGGCGCTGCTGATGCCTTCACGGTGAAAGTGTCGGATCCCCACCAGTACCATTGCTTGTCAGATGTGTCCAGGGCAACTACGTGCAAGAATTGCTTCGCTCAGACGATTGGTGCCATTCGCAGCTCAACCTACCTTACTCCAGTATTCAGATGGAGGTTCGAGAGAGTACACGGATGCCTGAAGGTACAAAAACCTTACGTCATGACATCCAAGGCCTTAGATTTGAAAGCCAAGCAACCGGTTCAGGTTGCGTAGGATATTTTTGACTTGGCAGCCTGGTCGGTCGTTCTTTGGTAACGTTTAAAGTATTTTAAAGTCACCCACTCACTGCTGGAGATGTTGTTTGTGTGTGGCTGGCCGAGCCAGGTGGTGCTTTCGCAGTTTGATCGTTGTAGACCTGGGTTTTCTGGAACAAGACTTTATTGCCAAGATTTCTTCCAGAGTTTCTTTCAAGAATCAGAACCATGTGGCTGTTGACAGGACATCCAGGGGTCAATGTGATTTGACACTGGCCTCGGAAGGTGTTTGCACGTGGACTCACTACTGTATGTGTTTGCTTTTCTCATTGTTCCATGTTGTATAAAGAGGCTTGAAGTGTGAGCTCTTACACCAGCGATGCCAGCCAGATATAGTGTAAAGCTCAATCACCGTGCTTTGTGTGCGAAAACCATGAGTCCAATTCATACAATCTTGGTTGGAGGCCAGCGCTAGTAGGTTGGAGGTCATCGCTTCTAGGTTGGAGGTCATTACTGCTATTAGGTTGGAGGCGATTACTGCTAGTTTGATAGTCTGTCACTGCACCCTGCTTGGATTCTGGAAAGTTTTGTGAGCCAAGAGAGTGAGAACAAATTGTTTCATTCATTTTTCTCAGGCAGTTTTCCTTGCAACTCAGTGAGTGTGCATTTGCGCAGGCCTCATTGTTGCGTGTTATTCACACAGTGGTTCATTTCCAGCCATTTTGCTAAAGAACACGTTGAATGCCAGTCAACCCGTGTGCTGCCCACATGGATGATAAGCAGCTCAGAGCTATTCGCAATGCTGCACTTAGCCGCCTTCAAAGTCAAACCTGGCCAAGGCTGCAGGGCACTGTTTCTCCAACTCATGAAGATCGAGAGGCTGCAGATTCTGGCCACTTCCCTGAGCCCAGAGCTCTTTTTTCTCAAGAGCCAGAGGAAGTGACTGAAGCTTTTGTGGATTCACCTGGAAAACCTTCTATGCCAGAGAATGCGAAGCTTCTGGACCAGAGTGATTCAGAACAGGTACCTGGAGAACCTTCGAATGCGAGGCTTCCGAAGAGTGATTCAATCCCAGCAGTGTTGGAGAGTGCTTCACAGGTACCTGGAAAGCCTTCCGAGCCTTTGTTTCCGAAGGGTGAGTCACAACACGTTTTTCCTGACTCAGAGGAGGAACACCAGGCCCCTGTTCAGGAGCCCAACAAGAAGCTGCTCCCTACCCAGAAACGTCTTCCGAGAAAGAAGCCCGCGGCTTCTCAGACCAAAGATGATGGTGAGACCGAAGATGCTGTTATGAAAAGGCCTGCAGCTGCGGGCTCCTGTGGTTCTGATGAGCCACCGGTGAAAAAAACAAGAACTCAGAGACAGCGGCTGGGCGATTTCCAGATGCTCAGAATTCCTTTGTTGATTCCACTGGCAAATGGCAGGCTTGGAGCTCAATTTTCAAAAGTTAACATGACTCTTCAAAAAACATTTTTCAAAAGTAGATATTGTACGATTGTAGGGATAAGCTCCATTTGGTTTAGGTTTTCAATCGAACCTACAACACTTTACCAAAACCCTGTTTTGGTTTTGCGGTTTTGAACTGTCGTTTTGTGTTTGCACATGCGGGAATACTCACTGTTTTGGTGTGCCTTCAGGTCTTTGAATGGGTACGTGAACAAGGCACCCAAAAAGGAGATATTTGGCGCAAGATTCTCCACATCGAGTCCGAGAAAGTATACCCTTCCTACAAGGCTGCTATCAAGGATGGTTTCAAGATAGAGGACATCCCGGCGGGTGCTTCGCTCAAAAAGCAGCGTGAGAGCTGAGTGAGATGACCAAATCAGCTATTTCGCAGATTTGCGAAGGGAACATATGAATTTTTCCCGAATGGATCAGAAAATCAAAAGCACGTGTAACCAAGGGTGTTCCATGCTTACACTCAGAGTTGTTTGGAGAAGGCGAATCGTTGCTGAAACCAGTCAGCAAACCTTGATTGATGTTCCCGAGCCAGCTTCTTAGTGCTAGCTGACGTTGAAGAAATCAAGCGAAAAGTGGCGCAAAGTCCAAGCGCTGCAGTTTTCAAACGACAGGAACAAACCCTACATGATTGGGGCACAGGAAGTCGTCCAATCAAACAATCAATTTGTTGCTGTTTGTTTGCTATATGTTGTTTTTTTTTCCCTCGTGTGTGCGTGTAAACGTTTGTAACCCAGGTTATGTTTGTACAGACATACATTGTTACCTGTTATTTGTATTAATTTAGCAGTTCCATCCACACATATGCCCAACCACTGATAAAATGAAACTAGGACTTATATATAATAGTAACTATAATGGCTCAAGACCGATGTCCGGAGTTGTTGGTGCAAGAAGTTGCGCTTCAATATTTGGAGCTATAATGAGTTTGGAGTTGGTGCTTCTAATTTGCAAGAGGCACAGAGAACGATTTGGGTCCACCCACGCAACAAAGGGAAAGTGCCAAAATACAAGGAAGAGAAAAGGGTGGGGGTGTTAAGGGGCTTCAAGTCTTTTGGCCTTGTGCACAAACTCGATGAATTAGCGGCCGAAAGTGTCCCGAAACAATCTAAATTAAACAAGGGCCCCTTCAGCGCCAGCCAAGCACTGCTATCATCTTTGGAAGCCAAACACGCTGCGGCTACCACCCGCTTTCAAAGGCCTTCAGCCATCCGTAGCTGGCAGGCCCGAGTTAGCAGATCAAAACACATAGCTCTCGGGTCCAGACATCTGAGACCTGAACCACTTTCACACGCTCAAGGAAGACTAAAGAGTGCCGCAAAAAATCATAGCTGGCAAAGCTAGACTACCACCAACCAAGTCTTTCACACGCTCAGGAAAGACCAATCATCAACATAGCTGGGAGAGCCAAACATCCACCAACCAAGTTCCATGAAACAACCAACTGTCGAGGAAGTGGATTTAGAGCTGCCTGGATGAGACTTTCGAGTGTCTTGGACTCAGTTCGCC